TATACATCTCTATATACCATTCAATTCACACCATGAATTATGTGGTCGAATATATAAATTCCTCTCCYGATTCATTCATATAMACCGAATCAATTAAGAGATGGCCACTCCTAATCGCATTAAGCAAATAATTTATAGACTATATGGAAATCACAATCCTGGACAAATCATAATAAAAATATATTCATTATCATGGTTAGGCTTTCCACAGCCCTAGCTAAAAACAAATCAGTTCATGCTAAAGGAAATACAACAAACAAGAGGAAAGAAAGAACTCATGAATTCACCCATGGTGCTGAAATCTCCTCTTCTTCTTGCCGCCACTTCCTTCTTGAAGCTTTCTTGATTTGCTGATCTCCTTCTTGAAGTTTCTTGATGATCTTCTTGATTCACTTCAGAGGGACTTCAGTAATTAACTCAATTATTGATTGATGCCTAAAGCTAGTTCGCCCAACCCTTGATATAGTTTAGAGAGGGGGGTTGTTACAACCACTTGGAGTTATCTCTAGAATAGATAATCCAGGTTAAACTCATCTTATCCTATCTTATCTCTTATCTAATGATCTCAATCTTCAACTTTCTTAGAATTACATCACAAATTTAAATCTGGTAGGACTCTTCTCAGTTTCTTGCTCTTGAATTCGTATTATGCTTCCTCTGCGAATTGGGCTGCTGCAAGTCTTTTCTGTCAGTTGGGCTTCAGCTGCGAATTGGGCCTTTCTACAAATTTCCCTGACTTCGGGCCCGGATTTGACTTTGATGCAGGCCGAATCTGCAAAAGCCCAAAACATGAAAGTTGTAGCTTTCTCTCTTATCGTTCCATTGAGTCTTGAATCAGCCCAATCGGACCTCGGATACGAGAGTTGAGCCCAAATTATTAATCAGTGCCAAAACTGTGAAAAATCATCTGATTTGCCTTGATTTTCTCCTGATGCCCTCTTTCATGCCCTGAACCGAAATACAAGAGTAATGAGTTCATTTAAATGTAAATTAAGTGTAGAAAGACTGAATTTTCATAGATAAGAATATGATAGATTTTCTTCGCATCAGATCCCTTACCTTGGGGGAATGTCGCCCTATTTATACTTGAGGTCGCCTGGTGGTGGACGCTACAGACGGTCAGGATGCGATCTTAGCCCTAGGCGGGAGGACATCTGAGAACCGCCGGATGTGGTCGCACCATTGGTCCTGCACTGGACATTGACCCCTGCCTTGAAAGACGCACTGACTGGCTCCGAGCTCGGCCACGTGTCAGTGCGCCGAAGGCCTACCTAAAGCGCCTACATCAGCTATATATAGGCAAACCCCCACACTCCTTTGCCAAATCCTTGGAAACTTCTTTGATCAAATTGTCGTTTTCCACTACATTACCTGCATTCCTCTTAAACAAGTCCCAAGCATCCTGTTCAGATAAGACATTAAGTGGAATATTTGCTTGGGTCCTCATCGCATGGCACACATCTTGACGCTGAGTTGTGAGTAAGAGTTTGCAACCCCTCCTTTGGCTGATTTCATCGGAAGTGATGAGGGGAATTTTGGTCACCCCACACAACTATCGACATGTGGATGTTGTTGGCAGTACAACGTTCAACACAGCACGGCAGCACGACAAAGCAACACATGGCAATCAGCGCCAGGTACGCAGCCGAGCTGGGGTGAGCTCAGCCACCAACAACACTAGCTCATCCGGAACCGTCCCGTGTGCCACACCCACACGAGCACCGCTATCACAACTGTGGAAACAGCTCGCCGAACCATACACCACAAGACCCAAGGGCAACCTATAATTGCCGTGCGGATCTAGTAACTAACTAACCAGCATACCCCAAACTACGGAAATAGCTCCACAGAAGACTCAAAGACATTGCCTGATGGCAACGAAACCTCAATAGCTATAAAGGGACCCTAGGATCACTTTGAAAGGTATGCACACTGATACCCTCAAAGCTCTCTTATGTTCTCAGAGATTACTCCTACACACTCGCTGACTTAAGAATCAGAGTGCCCTCCCCAGGTAAAAACTACCCGGGCACCCTTACCTCCTTTCCTTTTACAGCTGGCACTGAGCTCGATCACATAGATACCAGCTCAGCCATACAACTCATCACTACCAGGTTGGACCCCTATTCGAACCAGATCACAAGACACGAGGGAGCGTCCAAATTGTACATCATCAGAAGGGAATCCCCAATTTTTTCAACTCTAACTTAGCCCAAATATCATCCAATATGACAAGAAAGCACCTCTCTTTCTCCAACAATTGTCTTCCTCTCACACTTTCTTCATTAAATTCCAAGCCTAACATGTCTGCAATTTCACCTTGTATTTGTTTAAAGTTTGGTTCTTGCGACACCACAGCCATCACGACGACCTTGTCAAAAAATTTTTCTTTCTCCACTTGTTTGCCTACTTCCGTCACCAGGGAATTTTTACCCACACCTCCCATCCCATACACCCCAATGACATGGATATTTTCATCTTTCAATGCCTCCTTGACTTTATCCATTGTCAACTTTGTGGATGTAAAAATATTGAAATCGCCTTCGTAAATGAATTCCATCGTTGGAAGGGGAGCTGGATTAGATACATTATATAACTTCTTTGGTAGGAGATCATCAATGGATTTCATCTTCTCCACGGCTTCCTTGCTTAGGTCATAAAGTGTATAGTTAACTTTGCTTTCTCTAAGCAACTTATTTCCATTTTCTATGATTGTTTCCAGATCGTTTAGAAGAGATGTTACTTCATCTTTAACATCTTCTCCCATCTTCTCTGCTTCTTTAACTGATTTTTGAATCTCCTCTTTCACAGATTTTGCTTTCTCCATGTTACTCTTGAATCTAGAAATTAAAGATAACCAACTTTATCCTTAAGCGTATCCTTCCCCCAATCTTCTACAATGCCATTTAAAATATCCTTGGCCTTCTTCCACACGAAGGCCGAGAGAGTTGATAACATTTTTATATTCCAGGAGAAGAACCAATATAATTAAAACTGATTAAAGAAAATGAGAATAGATCTTATTTGCCACCTCTCTTTGACTTCAGCAATGTAATGGACTCTTCCACCAGCTCTTTCAAATCCCCTCTCTCTCTCCTTTTGCTGCTCCTGCTCTGCACTTTCTGCTACTGAGGACTCAAGGCTGAGAAGACAACTCAATCCCGAAGAAAACAAAACACTGAAAATTTGGGATAGTTGTTGGTGAATGACAAGTCGATTCATTATACAGCCATGTTTGAAAGTATAAAATTTCACTTGACAAGAGTTAGTTGTTGGTGTTTTACTCTGTCCAACGATCCATCTGTCATTAACTGAAATTGAATAAGCCTTGTTAATATTTTTTCCCCTATAAAAAATAAATAAAAGAAATTGTATTTGTATTGTCAAAGAAAATATGTATGAAATTAGTCTTGTTTCCTTTATTCTATGGCTCAATGGTTTTGAATGGTATATATATATATATATATATATATATGCAATAGCAGTCAGCTTCTCTGAATTTTCTGACACCGTTTCAAGTACATCCCTTCAGTTATGTTAATGTTAAAATTATAACAGTAAATGCTAATGTCATTCTCTAATTTTTAAATACCAAAATTGCCCTTAATGGAGAAGACATGGTTTTATATCAATGAAAATACCTCCAAACGGTATTAAAACATACCACGGTGTTTTAATTGTTTCATTTCCAAAATAATATATGGCTATCAATTAGTTCATTTAAACAAAACAATATATGTAGATACTTAGATAGCCTAATAAAACCACCATTACATATGTTTGAAAGAAAATTTAAAACCATAGTTTTGGAATATATATATATATATATATATACACACAATTTTCCATGAGATGGACAGGAAAATCCAAACACAATGTCCAATTTGATGATAAAAAGAATCAAAAGGATATATGGAGTGTTAATAACATGCCAAATTCATGTAATTGTACGGCCTATGTTTGGGCTTGGCTCAGGTGGATTAGGTAGTGGCCTATGTGGCCTATGTATGGGCTGGATTAGGGTGGAGTGGTCTGTGGCTTATGTCTGGGCTTAGGTTATGGAAGACTGGGTTGTGGCCTAGGATTACTAAGTTTTAGTAAATTACTCACAACATGCAGCACAATTTAAGCACTAAATATCACTAAATTACAATAATTCACCACAATTTAAATACTAAATATTATTGAACAAAATAAACCACAAAATACACAAATAATTCAAAATTAAGAGATAAATTCACCACAATTTAAGCACTACAATCAAGTATATCACTGAATACATAAATGAACCACAATCCGTAATTATTCAATAAAATTTAATTACTAATTTTTCAGTTATTATTCATCCAAATAATTAATTAAACCTCGATAAATATTGATTAATCATTTCATAAAAATACATAAATTAAATTTCTGAAAATCAGTAGTTAAATTTTAAAAATACATTAAATTAATTTTAGTAAACTAGTGAAAATTTATCATTTAATAATAATAATAATAATAATAATAATATAGTGTCAAATAAGAATAGATTAATTCCAGGTAAATTACTCATTTGAATAATTAATAATATATATCTAATAAATTTGAATCATTGATTTTTACTGAAATTAATTTTCCACCAAAAATTTGATTGAATATTTAAAAATATCAATAAATATTTGCAAATTTATATTTAAAAATATCAATAAATAATTACTGAAAATATTAAAATAAATTGTTATTACAGAAACTTCTTAATAAATATCTGAATTAGAAAATTTTAATTATTACTTTTCAGTAATTATATTGAAAAGTATACAATAGTTTAGAAATTTATTAGTAAATGTTCAATAACTTTTAATTATTAATTTTCAGTAGTTGATTTTTACTGAAATTAATTTCCACTAAAAGTTATTGAAAATTTTCAATAATTAGTGAAGCACTAGTTTTCAATAATTTGAAAAATATCAATAACTAATTACTGAAAATATTAAAATAAATTGATATTACTGAAATTTTTTAATAAACATCTAAAAATTGTTGAAAGGTTTTAATAAATTGCTGAAAATTTTCAATGCTTTACCCCTTGAAAATAATAAATAAAGGAATATGTATTGTATTGTTAAAGAAATATATGAAATTTTGTTTCTTTTATTTCAAGGTTCACTGGCTTTGAATGGTGTTTGTTTTGTTCAAAGCAAAATATCGAGATATAGTCATGCTGTTATTTTTGGATATTAAGCAAGGTTTACAACATTTTGAGTAGGAAAGTGTAAGCATCTATGGTTATAACCATAAACTAGAGGAGTCTTGCACTTCCTATCACAAAATATATAAAACAGAGACAACTTTTATTGCCCAGAGAGAGAGGTTTGGTGTTGGAGAAAACAAAGAGTTTGTTCATAGGGGTGTCAATGAACCCAATTTAGACTGGACCTGTCCAAACCAAAATCAATTTGGATGGATTGGATGGACCAACAAGGCATATTGAATTGGACCAGTCCAGACTTAATGGCCCAAAAGTATTTATTGGATTGGATAGGACCTGGTCCATCCGAAATGAATTTATATTTGATTAGGTTGGATTGAGCCAATATCTGGTTCATTGATAGAAGATAAGAATATAGGTGTCAATGGATCAGGTTTGGATTAGAACCAATCTAAATTAAAATGGTCTAGAATATTCATTGGATTGTATTGGACCTGGTCCATTAGTAACGAACTCACATTTGATTGGATCGGATTGGACTTGTTGATGCTCAGATTGGCTGATGACAACACAATGAATTTGCTTCACTTTCGGACGAGCTGGCTAGTGGAAGGAACCGAGGGTTGCCAAGGCCGAGGGCAAGGAGAGTTCGAAGGGTGTCATAGCCGAGGGCTAGAGGAGACCAAGGTGTGCTGTGACCGAGGGCTAGTGAAGTCTACCCGAGGTCGGTCAAGGTCAGCAGAGGTCGGCAGATGTAGGCCGAGGCCGAGTACCTGTGAGGAAGGGAACGTTAAAGGCCCCAGGTGCAAACCCAAGGTGGGGACTCCGACGGTCAAGTTAGCAAGGGCATAGCAAAGAAGGTAGACGAGGTCCAAGGAGTTCGGACGAGGTCGTCAGAAAACTAGAGTGCTAGAGAGCTTGGAGAAATGAGAGTCTGGGGATCAGAAAGAAGTCCCTTACCTTGGGGGAGGCATGCCCTATTTATACTTGAGGTCGCCTGAAAGAGGACTCCACAGATGGTTAGGATACGATCCGGCCCTGGGCAGGTGGCCATCTGAGCTCGTTGCGTGGTCGTGCCATTGGTCCCGTAATGGGCACCGACCTCTACCCTGCCAGACGCGCTGATTGGCTCCATCCTTGACCACGTGTCGACGTGTTAGTGGCCAACCTAAAGAACCTACATCCTTTGCTCCTCACTCTCGAGGCTGTGCTGGAGGTCTTAAATGAGGACATCAGCTTCGGCCGAAGGGAGTGTCGTTCTTGCTGGGAGGCACTGAGTGGCCTTCTATGGTGAGGACCTTAGCTGTGGCGAGGCTGGAGAGTGCGGCCTTTGGGCACGGAGGTGTTGGTGCCGATTTCGGAGTTGTTGAGGATAGCCCTACTTGGGAGTGTAGAGACATCAACTACGGCCAAGGCCTCATTGGAGGTAGTCTGACCTATGAGCGTGTAGACGTCATCCTCGGCTTCGAGGGGCTTCTGTTAGCTCTTGTGATGATTCCGCTCGTTGAGGAGGTTGTGGAGGGCGAAAGAGCACGAAGGCATTGGCCTCGGCTCTAGAGAACTCGGTACCATGTTTTCTACGGTTACGAGGAGGGCGTGGTCCTCGGTCGTGTTCTTCAGATGGGCTGATGAGTCCACTGTGAAGCACAAATGACAAGTGGGTGCGTCATGGCCATGCACGAGATGAGTTTCGGCATCGGGTGTTGTCAACGCGTGTGACGGGTCTCGGCGTTGAAGGCCTGGATTGTGCCCGAGGTGGGCAATGAGTTGTGACTGTACGCAAGACGATGATGGTGTTCCTTTGCATCTGGTGCAGAGGGCTAGTCGTTCAGGTCAATTTGGTGGGGAACCGAGCTGAAACTCTAATAACAGAGGAAGCTTTTGACACAGGTTGGCCTCGGCTTTGCTCGCCTAGGTAGGAGGGTTCCTGTTGCCGGCCCGACACATCGACTCATTTTCCTATTGATAAGCATCGGTTAGCCTGTGCTTGCGTAAGGATGTCACGGAACGCTAGGGACTTGCTACTTGAGCAAGCCTAGTTGCTGGGGAGAGCGCTGGAGAGGGCACCTCGGTGGTAATGGCGCCTTGGCCAGGTTGGCCCTGAGGGTGCCTTATCCAGGAGGGCACGGAGGGTGCCTTGGCCAGGAGGGCACCTCGACTAGAAGGGCACCTCGTCTAGGAGGGTGCTTGGCCAAGCTGGCGTAAGGGGTGGCTGAGGTGAGTGCTTGTTCTGTTGCTTGGAGGATTCTTGTGCTTCCACTGTGGGTTACTTGTCATGCCACCGACCTATAGCTTCCATGCGAAAAGGGTGGAAGATAAAGAGTTGTAGGCATCCGAGGTGACACTTCCCCGAGCTGAAGAGGGGTGCGCATCCGTCGAGAGGCAGGGTATGGCTAGCTTCTACGGTGAGGATGTTCCGAGCTGAGGCGATGTCGCCAGCGAGGAAGGCCCGCCGAGATGCAGGCGGCATCCAAGGTGAATCTACCCTATGTCGGGATGGTGATGTCACCAGAGAGGAGGGGCGCGTGGGTGCCTAGAGCCAGGCAAAGGGGGCTGCCAAGGTGTGGCTGTCGTCCGAGGTGATAGTGCCTCAAGTTGAGGAGGTGGGGTCACCAGAGTGGAGGCCACACGTCAGC